TTGCTGAGAAAAAACTTTTTAGTTTGAGTAAGTCCCATTTGTTGATTCTAGTTGTTAACTTTTGTGCTATGGGTGTCCTATTGAGGAATTTGGAGCCCGATCCCACAATATGTAGATCATACCCTACTTTTTCTTCTATTAGATGCCATGTCTCTGATTTAATATCAAGATCCTTGATCCATTTTGAGTTAAAAATTACCAAGATTTATGTATCCATTCTTTTTCAGTATGATAGCAATTCCTGAAAAATTTTTCATCTATAAAATGTCTCAAATTTAGACATGGTGGCATGGTGAAATCATTTCTTGAGTTTTAACTGTTCATTGATGGGATATAGAAATCAAACTGTATCATTGAAATTATTAAATCATCTTATATGTTTCATGATGTTGCCACTAGGTTTCTCTGAGTCTCTTAACTATATCACACTGTAGTCTTGGAATAACATTATTTTTCTACAACTCCTTTTTGAGATCTCCTTTTGTTTGTAGTTGGTACAGTTTCTGTATATGTCAAAAGTGATTTCTTTTCAATTTTTACCTGATATTTAAGGACCATTTGAGTGTTTTGTTTGATGTTTTTAATAACTATTGGAAATTTTTGAGATATTTTAAATGTTTTGCAACAACATTATTTCATTGCATTCTCATGATTGGCAATATGCAATCTAAATATTCTAAAAATTTCCTACTGTGTGATAGGTTTTTGATTTTGAGTTAACTGAAGAAGACATGAAAGTCCTAGATGGCCTGAACAGAAATTTTCGCTATGTTGTCATGCAATCGTAAGTAACTTTGATAGACCTGTGGCCTTTGTTTATTTATTTTCAAGTCTTTCCCTCCTTTTCAGTGCAGTTTGATCAGAGCCCAGACACTGGAGTTGGTGTCAAAAGGATTCCCTTGGGGCTGTTGGGAAAATATTTGGTTTCAAATTAAAAACTGTGGACATCTTAATGCAGAAGATAGAGGGTTTTTTTTTTGAGAAGAGAGATTCAAAAGCAAGAGAAGAATGTGCAGAAAAATAACCTTGTTGAAGAGAATTAATAATCATGAGAAAAAATCTCTACTCTTTTTGGGTGCTTTGTGATTATAGAATCTGGCATTGGATATCATATATTATAAGTGAGAATAAACAAGGAATATATGTCCCTTCTGCCTGTTGGAAATTGACTTTATAATAGAAATAAATGGGATGATGTTTTAAAGGAGATTAGAGAATCCATGATTACCCAGGCTTAAATATTGGCAGATATATTGTTATCATTACTAACATTTTTGTTAATATAGATACAAATGAAGAAGTAGTAATATAATGTAAAGAGGCAGTAGCAATTGACAATTCTTGCTACCTATTATATTTCAAGAAGTAATGATTTTCTGTTGTATTATTTCTAAATTATAGAGATCTAAATAATATATGCAGAGCTCCTGAGATTTGCATGTGTACCTTATAAACAACATTCTTTCCATATCCAAATAAACACCATGTTGTCTGTGATGGGCAGTGAGAAAATCATTAATGAATCTCTTAAATGGAAGTGAGATGGCTAGCAATATACTGCACATCTAAAATGCTTTTTGTATTGGTGAATATCTGAGCTTATCCTTATACAAAACATGGCATAAATGAATGTGTCCTCTTCCACAAAGTAAGTAAATAATGTGGTGCAATCTGTTTCTGCTTTCACTGAGATAAGAATAAGGAAGAATTTCTTTGATTTGGTAGATTGACTAATAGAGCTAAGGAAGATGAATATGAGTGAATTGTTGTCTCTGTGAGTTCGTTGTGTTCTTTCTTGGTAAGGGAATAGAATTTGTATGATTTAGTTAGAACTAAAACACCATCTCCTATATGACTATGTTCGTGAACGTAGAAATAGCAGATTGTACAACCACTGAGGAAATATAATGAAGCTCAGTAGGTATCACTTATTTATCCTGTAGAAATGCAGTCACTGAGTCTATGTTACATAATTTTCTTTTTCATTTTAGTATGTCAGACCACCCAAATTATCCATTTGCTGATGAATATTAACCTGGACACCTTTGTCATGACTTCAACTAGTATCCCCCACTTTGATTGGGATGCGGGAGGTGGCTCAGATGCTCCTGATTGGACACATCACTTATGTTAATCCATGCTTCTTAGCAACTCACATTCTG